GCAATTCAGTAAGAGTTAGAAATTATTCTGAATTTTAAAATACTAGTATGTTCTATCAATAAAGGGTGGATGTAAAAATTAGGCAGGAGCTGCAACAGTATAAGAAAACAATATGAGATATACCACAGCATGTTTATGACACTACATCAATATTTTATTTTTAGGAAGCACAGGATGAGTTAAGAAATTCTGGTAACCATCAGAAAGGCAGGATCCCTATCACAAAGGCCTTGAGTGCCAACATAAAAGTTCTGTGCTTTGTTCTGAGGACATTTGTGAGCCCTGGGAAGCTACAAAGCTGGAAAGTAACATGATCATCTTCTGCTATCAGAAACCACTTATTAAGTGGAAGAACTAATGACGACCAAGTGTCTGCCACACCTGAAGATTGTCCCTTCCCCCTGGGGCCCCTGCTGTGAAAGTGATTGCATGGAGAGAAAACCTGGTTTTATAGTCAGGGGGTGTTAATTTCATGCGACCCAGCACAGAGGAGCTACTCAAAAGAGGTGAGCGGAGGGAGTGCAGGAGTGAGTGAGTACGCAAGTGTACCCAGTTCTAACCTGAATATTTTACAAGGGACATTATTTCTTGTGAAACTTTCTGATATCTCTTCCCATCTCCCTTGGTGATGAATGGCTGGTTCAGGCCAGGAGAACAAAATTCATTGTTATAGGGACCAATTCTGGAAAATAGTCAATACTCTAATGGGGGCTCACCTTAAAATCTGAATTAGTTAAGTGCAATAAGAAGAATTTAGAATAGACTCCAGGCTTCACTTTCTGCCTTTGTCTAAGGCTTCACTCCCTGCCATTTATGATCTTTTAAAAAAGGCCTAACTGAGGCACGAGCTTGGAGATGATACCTTGTAGAATTGGATTACTGTAACTTCAAGATGCTTTAAACCAATAGCCATTGGGCCGGCCCGGTGGCGCACTGGAGAGTGCCCCGCTTGGGAGCGCGGCAGCGCTCCCGCTGAGGGTTCGGATCCCATGTGGAGACTGGTTCCCGCTCACTGGCTGAGCGCGGTGCGGGCGCAACACCAAGGGTTGCGATCCCGTTGCTGGTCAGTAAAAAAGACAAAAAGGAAAAAAAAAAACCAATAGCCATTGTATGGCANGCAACACCAAGGGTTGCGATCCCGTTGCTGGTCAGTAAAAAAGACAAAAAGGGAAAAAAAAAAAAACCAATAGCCATTGTATGGCAGTATAGTCCTCAATAAACAGAACTATACAAAGAACACAAGAGGTGGGAGTAGAAGTGACCCTCTCACCATCACTTCCATGACTCATTTGAGAAATTTGTGTTTCTGTCCCTGCAATTCCAGCCCCTGCATATCCAGAGGTCCTAGTTCCTCGAGGAGAGAACACTTCCACCAGAAGACACAGCAAGAGCCCTATTAACTTTAAGCTTTGGTGGCCACCCAGTCACTCCTGGCTCCTCAGGCCAGGAGACCAGCAGGCAGAGAAAGAAATTACTGTGCTGGCAGGAGATAGGATGGCTGCTATGTAATGGGGGCCAGGAAGAGTATATCTAGAACTACTGATGCTTTCATATCCAGAAGTAACTGTAAATGCAGAACTACAGCAACGTCAGTGTGATGAGGGAAAAGGGGTTCAGACCCCCCCCACAGGAAGGTATGTGTTTACCCCACCAAGAAAACAACTTAGACCAGCAGAAGTACTGGCCAAGGATGAGAGGAATCTAGAATGATAGTATAAGAGCAAAATTCAACTACAGTAGAGGAGGGTTTATCTTGTCCCACTAACCTTACTTTCCAATTGTATATTGAAAGACAGGGATGGGAGGAAAGAAGGAAGGAAGGAAGGAAAAAGTGACTAGCCACCAACTGTTTACCAGTGTTTACCAGTATTATTCCAACTGCCAGTATCTTCATCTGTGCCTTACAATCTTTTTCTAGAACTATAGAAAGCCACGGTGCCATGTATGCATGGCAATCTGAAAATGCCAAATCACCCTCCAGGAACAATCCTAATCAATGACACCCAGGAGTCATAAATAGTCCAGGTCCCTCATCCCTTGGTGAGATCATTCTGAGGCATGTGTTGTAAACTGTTTCCCAGACTTAAACTGCAGTTGTGCACTGCTGTGGCTGAATTAATAGAGCTCTCTTTATTGGCGGCATTCCCTTTCCTGTAACTCTTCCCCAGTCCCCTTTCGGTGCCACCTTATGTTTTTGGTTTTTGTTTTGTTGGGTTGTTTGTTTGTTTGAGTTCATACTTTTTTTTTTTTTTCTCCTTTTTGTCTTTTTTTTTTTTTTTTCGTGTCCGGCAACGGATCACAACCCTCAGTGTCGCGCCCGTAC